TTTAAATGTCCCTTCCAACTCAAACCATTCTATCATTCTATGAAATAGGCATTCTTTAGCATCTGTGATTAAATTCATATCTTTGAAAGCTGTTAGCAATGCATTTGGCACTCTGTAGTTTGTAACAATATAAACTAAGCAGGCAAGTTCCAGAAAGTCTTGTGTGAGTTTGAATTATTGTCCAGATAGATAAGATTGTATTTTTGCATGTACACATTTTAATGTATGTCAGGTTTCTTTCTAGAAATAAATGTTACTTATCTATGTAGAATGGTGGAACAGACATAGATACGTATATATATACATACCTGTACATATAGATACACCCATAATTAAATATTCCTATGCAATTTTATCTGATACCAAGAGAACTTGTGTAGTAGTTCTGTGAAATAAAAGTGATAAAGGAAGTGCAAATAGATCATAAAAAATATGATTGAAAACATGTAACTAAAATCAGGAATCAATTTCTGAATTAAAATTAATTTTATGTGTGAGCATTGCAGCACACCAAGCAAAAGTAGTGCTCACTAATTTTAAGCATAGTCTAGCACTTACTTTTAAGCATGGTCTTGAAAGTCCTTGATTTTCATTAGATTACATATATGCCTTTAGGTGAAGTACTTATAAATTGGTGCCTTTATTACTGTTTAGCATGGAATGATTGGTACAACTTAGAAGAATTAAGCTGGACAGCCTGATTATTCCTAGAAAATGCAAACAGTCTCTTTTTTTATATGAATTACATCTGTTGTCCCATCATGTCAAAACCTGCATGTTGCTTTCCCTGCTATCAGCTTCTCGTTATAATAGCAGTAATGACCTTAACACAAGGATTTCCTTGATGCTAATGACCAGTTGGGGTTAATTAGCTGAGATGATGCTGAAATTCTATCAACGGCTCCTAGCAATATGTAGACCTCTGAATGTGGCACATAATTTGATAGTTACTGCTTATAAAACAGAATAGCATCTGTGAGCTTGTGTTGCTTATTCATTGGTGTTATTCACGCATGAATCCAAGAGAGATGTTTGCAATCACATCTGTTATTCCAAAAAGACCCATTTCCCAGTTAGTAAATATTGATCATGCATAACAATACTTCTAAGTGACTGGTAGAAATATGATTTTCTAAATACAACAAAAATGTGTATGCAAAACACTTCAGCAAGAACAGTGAAATTTGTATCTGTGAGTTTCTCTGTACTAGATTTTTCCGCTCTAATCTGGGTTTATTAGTAATAGCTGTTAAGTGCCTTAACTATAGCCCTGATTGATTGGTTTTAAAATAAATATTTATTTGCTGGAATGTCATAAACATTTTTTGGGAATTTAGGAAGAAGATATTCTGTTGCTGACATTTGGCAATCTGCTGCATGCCCATTTGATAGCATTTCTTTTTGGTTTCTCTTGTCTTGCTTTAGTTTCTTTAACATCACAACAGCAATTAGGAAGAGACTGAAGAAGCAGCAACTAAAGGAAAGTTGGCTGCAGATGAAAATATCAAGGCTCATCTTTAGTTACTTTGGAGAAAAGAGCAAGAAATTATTAACCTTAAAATGTGACCTTGTAGAAGAAAGGCAATGTCCAATAGAAGATTCTTCTTATAATAAGAGATACTATTGAACAATAAAGTGTCCTGTATGGTACTACAAACTGAAAACTTAGTCGCTTTCAGCATGTTTAAGTATCTTCTTGTTTAATAAAAAGTTGGAAAAAATACTTTAAAGAGAAAGCTAAAATAATTTAAATAGTTTAAACAGAAACAATAACATATTATGCCAAATTATATGTGACTCTAGATGATTTCTAGTGGCACCATATATGTAAGGTCAAGACAGAATTTTGTCCCATGTGGAACGATAAGTTGAAATTTTCAAAAAGTTACTCAAATCTCAATTCTTAATGTTCTTAAGATGTCTTGAAGGGAACACGTGCTAACCTGAACAGAAGTGAAACAATTACTTTCTTGACAAAAGATACCAGTGAAGGTAATCTTATTTAGAATTGGATTTCAGATATTTTTTGTATTTGTCTGTTTTCTTGAGAAAAATAGGAGTCAGTCAAAATGACATTGTTCTGGACAGTATGACTAAATTTTGCACAGAACAAAAGGAAAAATCCACAGTTCACAAGATGTCAACTTCCCTCTTATTTTGGTACAAATGCTTTTTTCTTAATCTCTCCATAAAGTGTGGCAATTTCAACTCAAGCAAAAATTTTGAAGTTAGTACAGCGGTGCTGTTTTGCAGTAGTATTTTAGAGTTTTCCATACAAAACAATAAAGGATTAGTAAGCACAGATTTACCAAGTGGAGGACCAGGACCAGGGCACTGTTGCTCCCCACTGAGTACTGGGAGATGCAATAGCTGAACTGTGAAATGTTGCATCTCTATGGCTGTGTAGCCTCTAGCACCTCATTAAAAGTGGAAGACTGTATATCCCTGGTACAGTAATTAAAAAATACATTGCAGTAATCACCATCACTTAATTGTCATTGTGATGATGGCTATTTTATGCTCTGCAGAGATGCACCTGTAATTAGCTCCCTTGTTTTAACACTAAAATTTGGGTCTTGGTTACAATTGCCGTAGGTTTTCCCAGTCTGAGCTTTCTTTGTTTGTCTTTTTAGTTGTAGATGTATTGCTCAATTTGTTTTATAGCCTGAGAGGATACACTTGTGTGCTGAATTTTCTTCCTGTATTACATTACTTTGTACAGTAAATCCTCCTTTATCAAAAGCTAAGCAGAGTGGGAGTACATGTGTGGTGTGGAATAAAACTCAGTGAACTTGCTTACAATATGGGGTGTGACAGAGTCAAGAACAGAAGCTGGACTGCCTGAATCCAAGACTAAATTTTAGGCTTGAGGATACCCTTTCTTACTTTGTTTAATCCCAGTGGCTCAAGTGAGGAATCTGAAAGCAGAAAATGCAAGATCTGGCATATTTCTGTATTCTGGGGATGGGATTCCAGTCCCCTGCACATGTCTGCATGCTGTGGCACACACATTCATTTTAAAGACAAGACAAAACGATGGAAAGTCCCCTGCTCTCCAGGGAGAGGATGCTGCTCCATCTGAGCAGCATGACCCGACTGGACCTCAGCACTTTTGAGTACATTTGTTTCATTTCTCCACTGGGAAGAGGATTGACCCCTAAAGTTTAAACACTAATTACTTAATTACCATTAATAATAGAATGTTTAAACCTAAAATACCAATTTTTAATCTTGTAAAATCACTGGTTATTTTTAGTACAGGGCTGTTCTACAGTGTTAATGGATTTTATAGTCTTAACATTTGTTACACAGTGCTGCAGTGGCAGACATCAGTGGTGTCTTACGCAATTGTATTTCTGCCAGTCCATAGACCTATTGTCATTGTTTCCCATAGAAACAAAACATAGCAGTATAAATATGAATAGGAGAAAAGATGATTACAGGAGTGACTCACATTAACTTACAACTTTAAAAAAAAAGTTTTGGACAAGGCTTAAACTGTTGAGGTTCTCTTAGAACAGTCTGATGCCAAACATGCAATTTCAATGAAGAGGAATGTGTAAAACTGCTTGTCCAGAAGGTGACTTCAAGTATATTCTACTTCACATGATTATTTCAGACCTGATCTGAACAAAATAAAATAAAATAAAGTAAAATAAAATTACAAGTCCTTCACAGAAGAATCTATTCAGTTTACTGTAGAAAACTAATGTAAAATCCTGTGCTGTCGATGTATGAAATATATCTTACGCGACTTGATGATGTTTTTGAATATAAATCAGGCCAAGCAAAGGAATGATTCAGCCAAAAAGAACAAGCTTTTCCTATCTGTTCGAAGCATCAAATTATGTGGTGTATAAATATAAAGTGTTTCGGTAGGATGACAGTGGTATTGTCACATTCCAAGGTGGAGAAAAAGGCAAATGTAGTTATTAGAGGGGAAAGGATTCTGAACTAGATTTTTTTTGAAGTTTTAGCCTAATTCCATGAATCTTGAAGAGTGTTTTGTGAAAATTTTGTTTCCCATGCCTTTATGGATTATAGAAATGACCATCCTAGGAATACAAAATGGTTGCCTTTGCCTTAAATTAATTCAGTGATCAAATTGCAAATTATGCTGGAGCCTGTCAATCTCTTTAGGCATTAAAACATTGATGTTAACTTCAAGTAATGTTAAACACACATGGTTTTGCCAAGCATTCCTTCCAGAAAGTGTTTCTGAAGCATGTTCCAATTGAAATTCATGTATAGTAGGATCCATAAATATCTTTGGAAACAGAGTTATGTGATTTCACCTACTTGTTAAACTATCCAAACAGGAAGTGAAAGGAGGCCCATGTCACTACTGAACAGACAGCTTTTATATGGGTCTTTTTTCGTATATTTTGCAGCTCTTCGAGATGCTGGAAAACAGTCAATCAATAGTGACTGGAAGATAGAGCATTCAGGAACATTCAATATTGCCGGGACCACTGTCCATTATGTTCGGAGAGGTCTCTGGGAGAAAATATCAGCCAAAGGTCCCACAACATCACCTTTACATTTACTGGTATGACAATATGGATTGGGGTTTTTTACCTCATTCCTATCATATAGCATGGTAACTAATATTTTTTTCCAGGCTCCTGAAGATAATGAGACCTATGTAAGATATACCTCCTTTTATATATATATACATATATATATACACACACACACACCTGCTTACATATACAGATCTGTCAGCGCACTTCTAAAAAAACGCATTTAAATCCAAGAATAATATTTACATTGTTGAGGCAGGATGTAAGGTCTCAGCATTCCTACAAATGTCATAAAAGTTGATGTGCTGCTTAAGAAGAGAGCTTCAAATTAATATCAGATGGTTTTTATCCTGACTGACTACAGCACAGCATCGCCATTTCAGGATTGCAATCACCAAGTTCTCCATGAAGAAGTAGGGTTTTGAAGCATTTCAATGTAGGGGAGGAAATGTTGATAGCCACCAGAAAGAAAGAGGGAGAGATGATGAAGTAGTACTTCAAATGCAAGAAATTGGCTGGTTAGCTAAAATAGTTTTAAGTCTGATGCATCTAGGAAAGACCTCCTCTATTTAAGAGCACTGAAATCACAGGACATAATCATCCTCCGGATTTCTGGTGCATTTTGTTTGCTTATTTCACATGGAGGGCTTTTAGACCTGTATGTTAATTAAAATAATTTTTGCCATTGTCTTAATTTGGATATGCTCATTAATTTCTTCTACAAAATCCATCAGGAGTGTTGAATGGCTACAGAGCATTAAGTCATTCTGTCATGCTTTTCAAGATGATCTCACAGTTGGGAGTTTGTCTTCCACAGTGTCTGTGTACATAGGTTTTCCTTCTCTGTATCTTGCAGGTGCTGCTTTTCCATGACCAGAGCTATGGTCTACACTATGAGTACACAATCCCACTGGATCCTCTTCCTGAGAATCAGAGCTCTAAAGTACCGGAGCCTCTTTTCATGTGGACTCATTCTGGTTGGGAGGACTGTGATGCTGTATGTGGAGGAGGTAAAATAAAAGAAAAATGCATGAACACACACGTACACGTATACATTAAAAATGTATATGTATATACAATATGTATGTACATCCACAATACATATATGTGTGTGTATATATAGCTCTCTCAATGAAAGCACATGGTATATTAATATTTAAGACTCTGACGGTCAGTGTTGTATATTTAATAGTAATATCCTCATTGCAGCTTGTATGATTCCATACGATGGTGGACATACTTCAGTCTCAAGTTTCCTGATTATATTAAAAGAATAGTAATAACTCTAGGAAAAGATTCAAACTAATCAAAGTAAGTAGAAAAAGATAGTGAAGTAGTGAAGGAACAAAATCTAGATTAACAAAGCAAATTCAGGACACGGTTTCCAAGAAGAAATACAAGCGCAAGAGCTAGAACAAGAATAGAAAGTTCATATGCATTCCATTCTGTATTTGGAACTATTGAAGATAAATGATCTGTAAAAGACATTGCAAACTACAGAAAAGCTGAACCCCAATCTGAGATCAAATATGTACAGTTAGTAATGAGTTGAGGATGATCCAGAAACATATGGAACAAATCTTACAACAGCAGATATTAGCATGCTGGTGTGATATTTTTCCTATGTTTATGTTTATAAACCATAAAAAAATGTGAATTTGGAAGAACAAAATGCAGATATGAAAACAAATATTGGAACATGAACAGTATTGCTGTAACAAAATCCTTTAAAATTGCTGTTTAGAAGCTGCTTATTCAGATAGGTAATTACACCGAAAAAACACTTCAGAGTTTGTTTAATGAATGCAACCTATAGAGATCTGTTCATACCTTGTGCAATTAGTCAGACCTACACTGTGAATACTATATTGATTTTTGATGCCTGTCTTTCCTGCTTACAACCTTGACAGTCATGGTTGCTCTGATCAGCAGTTCTGAAAACTGCTGTGCACCTTGTGATTCAATAAGAAGGCCTGGAAATGCTTTACTTTCTCATAACAGCAGCATAAGGAACACAGTGTTCTAGCTCCTTTGACTCTGTGAACAATCCTGGTGTCATGACAGATTACTGTAGTTTCCATAGACATGCTTTTTGTGGTTTGGTAAGAAAGCTTCTTCCCTGAAGGTATTTTGTACATGGTGCTAAGTAGCATCCTCTGTTTCTTACTAGTGCATTCCTCTTCACTGGGAGTATTCATGCTTTTTACAGTTTCCTGCAGTATTTTTACAATAATTTTAATGCTACCACAATCTCTTGTTATTGCCCCAGATATTTCTAAGGTTACCTGTCATCTGGAGAAGTCTTAAAATGCAGTATGTCAGTAATTATTCTACATTAATGTTTAAATAAATATTTAAGTGCTTTACTGTAATGTTTATTTATCGTATTTTTCTGTTTTAACTGGCCTTGATTTTTTGTTATTGTCTAAAATAGTTGAGTTAATACAAAGTTCCATAAAAGGTATTTTTACTGCAAATATTCTGAAATACAAGTGAAAGATTTTTCTTACTTTAGACAAAACCATTTTAAGTGTTCTTTCAGTTCTTGGCTTGAATATGAAGCAATAATGAAATTAAAATGCTGCAGCTTGTACCCTGTGTAAATATTTGTGTTTCAATTTTTAACATCAATATTTTGATGAATCCGATTAAAGAATATAACAATTATTGGTAGTTTTGCTTAAATGTTTAAAGTGTATGTCAGGATGAAACTATTGATGAAGCCATGTGGTTTTGTGCATGTTTATATATGTAACTGGTCTGCAACCTCCTGTATTGCAGAAAAGCTTCCTTTGTGTGGGAGAGAATATGAATACACAGATGTATATGTAAATGCAGAAAGTCAGAAATGTCAAACATTTCAAATGCTGTATACGATAGATTAGTTGCATGTGCTTTTACGTACACACGTGCCATGTAAAATGTCAGCTGTGGTCACATACATAATGCACATTTATAACTTAACTGCTCCACCCACAGGCACATTTCTGACCGCTGGTGAGCATTGCATGCTTAAGTCTGCCCCGCTCCTGGATGCACCCTTTTTGTCGGTACACTTCCAGGTAGAAACAGACTATTATAACCATAGAAACAAATGGTTATGAACCTATTTTATAAGTCTTTAATTCAAGGATTGCTAGTTTTCTAAAAATTAGTCTCCAGTCTAATTACAAGTTACTGCTTGCGGTAGGTATTACGTTAAATTCTGATTTCTAACGCTTTCAGCTTCGAGACACACCAGGCTCCAACCCACCCCACAGGGCACAGTTTCTGAACAGAACATGCGCTAGGTCTCTGCAGGCAGTACCCAACTTCCTAAATTATTACCCTACAGACCAGGTCAGTTGTGTGGCCTCTTTAGTTCACAGGGAGTAGTGCAGACTCCTTACTGAAGGTTGCACATGCTGATTCCTTTAGCTGTGTGCCAGCCACACCTGCCAGCGTACTGCTAAACCAGGCAGAACTACTAAGCTCAAGCAATACGGAGAAGCAGGACCTGTCATTCCTTTCCTTATTTTACGTATTAATGAACAAACATACTTTGTATGTAATTTTTCTTCAAGCTTTTCTCAACACTGGGATCTCAGTGGTTGAGAAAGAAACAATTATTCCAGTAAGACTAAGGTTTTGGCCTATGACTAGTTACAGGAATAAAACAGCAAAACTCCGTTGAGAGTGGTGTGCAAACATTGGATTAGAAAATCACACTGTTCCCTACAAACTTCTACAAATATCTGTCTTGGGCTCCCTGCTAGCTTTGATTTTCTTTTGAGATTTTACACTTGTACAGGTTTTACAGGTCTTTTATCCAAACTGTACACGAAATAGCTGTATCTGATAAAGATACCTTTGTCCTTCCATTTTTGACAAAAAGGGGTTTTTTCCTGGTTTCCCCACATACCTGCTTTTTTTTTTTTACTAGGTGAAAGAAAGACAACAGTCTCTTGCACAAAGATCATGAACAAGAATATCAGTCTTGTGGACAGCAAGAAGTGCAAATATTTAACAAAACCTGAACCACAGATCCGCAAGTGCAATGAGCAGCCATGCCAGACCAGGTAATAGTGATTTGGTTAAATTAAACTGTAATATCTAGATGTAAAAATCTTAAGAGCTAAGAGAGATGACTGCCTCTGTCAATAAATGTGCAGTAAATACATACATCCAAACAGTTATAATGGAAAATGTAGGAAAAATGGAAACACTGGCTGTTGTTTCTCCCAAGTTTTAATGAAAGGGAGCCCTTAAGCACATGCCTAAATCAATTCTTATTCAGTAAAGCAGTGTAATATCTAGATGTAAAAATCTTAAGAGCTAAGAGAGATGACTGCCTCTGTCAATAAATGTGCAGTAAATACATACATCCAAACAGTTATAATGGAAAATGTAGGAAAAATGGAAACACTGGCTGTTGTTTCTCCCAAGTTTTAATGAAAGGGAGCCCTTAAGCACATGCCTAAATCAATTCTTATTCAGTAAAGCAGCTCCTTACTTTCATCAGGAAGAGTTCTCACAGACTGGTGTGTGCTATGAAATTGAAATTTAAATGCTGTTTATATAAAGATGGATTTAATCCCATGCTTTTAATTAATGATATATTTTAGCGTTTTGTTCAATCAGGGCTTCACTCCTGTAAAAGCTCTCAGTAAGCTCTGGGTGCACTAAGTAGTAAATATATAAATAAATAAATGTTAATCAATAATTACATTGATGCAACTTGAAGTATAAAGAGCCTTATCCTCGCTCCTCTCCTTGTATGTGGATCAATAGGCAGAACTGGACTGTGATGGTGGAATGGTGGAAGAAGCAGGAGGAGCTTTTTTTCTCTGAATTTCACCCCAGGAGGTAGCTGCAGCATGCAGCCTGTGCCCTGCAAAGCCCACCATATTTGGTGTCCCTGCAGCCGAGCTGGCAGCCTGCTCCTTGCACTGGCTGTCCAGGCTGGCACAATGACCCATTTCAGAGTTTGCCATCCTGCTTCCAGATGGCAGCTAAGAATTATGACTAAGTCCCCAAGTATTGTGTGTTCTTGGGTAAAGTATGTGCCGCCTTTCAAGGAAGAGGAGAGCAGCTTGCAATAGTTGGCTGGCGTCCCCAGGAGTAAGCGCTGGGGTAGATCTACTGCAGTCATCTGGAGGAGAGGTAGATGCTGTTTTTAAAGAAAATAATGCAAAGTAAATAAAATGCAATATTGTTAAAGAAAGCATGTAAAATGAACCAGAAGACATAGCTTTCTTGGAAAGGATGCAATACTGAAATTGATAAAATGCCAATTATGATACATTTTAAATAAGACCAAACCACTGAGGTTGGGACTTCCCCAGACTAGGGCATTACACTTTGGAGGGAGTATTTGTATTTCATTATATACATACTTGAGCAGATCTTTATTTTATTTTATTAACATCACTGTACTCTTAATGGATGGAAATGGAAGAGTCTGATCTTTTCCTGAGGCATTGTCAACTATATCTTTTCAATGTTCTGTACTTTTTCCAGCTTATTAAATGAAATATTTTAAATGTTGCTAATTGCTACTCAGAGATGCTGTGCAGAGAAGTGTAGAAAGGTATCATGATCCTTAACCTATATATCCAGTATTTAATACAGTGTTAGTGATTCTTACAAAACAAATATTGGTATCTTTCAACAGAAATGTAACTAAAGCATATGCTTGCATAACTAGTTGTTTGTTATTGGCACTTGAGGAAGTGTCTTAAAGTCTATTGCATTATCTTGACAGGCTGTGATTTGTAAATAGAGACTCTGGACTGGTAATAAAAAAACCCTAGTTAAATATTTTATTTTCTTACAACAAATGCATGACAGAAGGTTGGAATAGATTTGTTAAATCTCAGTTTCCTAAAAACTCCCCCTTGCAATCTAAGTCTCCTGGGATACACTTGCGTACTGCATCGGTGGCAGAGCTGTTTGATTTTTCAGGGCACATGGCCATAGTCTGGAGATACAGAACATTCAGGGAAAATTATGTTCTAGAACGATTGCTTTCCAGGTATGTGCGCTCTGCCAAGCTGCATCAGCCTTCCTTGCTGCTGGGATTTAAACCACACAACTTGAGTTAGTCCTGACCCTGAAGAACATGAAGAAGTCTGAGCCTTTATACTTCCTCCAGAGCAACGAGTCTTTCACACAGGAGTGATTCTGTCTTGCAACTAAGTATTTTCAAAGAATGCTGGACTTCATATGCATGGCATGCATTTGACATACAGACAGTAATATAGATGGAGAATAAAAGGCAGGCTGATCAGTGATCTGTCATATTTAAATTGTATGTGTATGTTGGAGGTTTTCTAATAGGAATTATAATGAGAGGAGAGTACTCTGAAAACAGTGGGACAGTGGGCTGGGGAATTAAATGATATGAACATTAACACCTTATTTAATGTAAAATTTATTAGATTAATAAGTAGCCCATTAACAAAGTGAAGTTAAAAGGAGGCAGAAAATACGCAAGTATGTCTGGGGTGTGTGTACTGGTAAGCAAGAGAGTAAGCTGATGTGATGGTACTTTTCCCTTCCTGATTTCTTGTTACTGCATTCCCTGTATTTCTTTGTAGATGGATGATGACAGAATGGACTCCGTGTTCAAGGACATGTGGAAAAGGGACCCAGAACAGACAAGTAGCCTGCACACAGCAGCTCAGAAATGGGACCCTGATCAGAGCTAGGGAGAGGGATTGCCTTGGGCCAAAGCCTGCTTCTGCACAGCGCTGTGAAGGCCAGGACTGCATGACTGTGTGGGAGGCGGGAGTCTGGTCAGAGGTGCTGCATTTATTTATACAAATAGTCCATAAAGATTATTTAAGCCTTACTGTTTTCTGGGAATATGATTTTGTCAGCGGCAAGAGGCACAGCTCAGCTTAATGATTTTCACGGTCCTCATGCAATGATTTGGCAAAGGGATCAGGGACTGGGAAAACTAGCCATGTAGAACGACTACATTTTACCTAGTTAATGTCCTGGAACAATTTCTTTTGGTCAATTTTCAAGGACATATAATCAAGTATGTCCTGACTGTGGTAGTAGTAGGTTACTAGGGGTAAATGGAATTAAGGCCATCATTAATCAGCTACCAGACCTTGTGTTCAGAGTGAGAACATCTCTGACATACTTTTGCACCAAGGATGCTGATCAGCAGATGATTGCTGCCGGTTTGATGCAGAGAGGCTATGAGGGGAGCTGCTTGACGCTTCTCTTCCTTCCTCTCTCTTCTTACCTCTTTTTCCAAGAACAGCACAAGCAGTGGGCAAAAGGGCTTGTAAATAACACGATTTTGCATACATTGCATCCTGAAGCATTGCTGTAGAAAGTAATTCTTTTTCAAAAAGCTTTATTAATTTAAGATCTTTTAATGGGCATGTCCATTTGGCTCTCTTCTTCTTCTAAAAAGCTATACTACTAAAAGTAACTGGCTGTGGTGGAAGAAGGGTGTTGTTATCACTGCCATCTGGACAAGCTGAAGGGGTTACTTGGACCGTCTCTCTCCATTGGAAGAGCAAGGCAATTCTGATGGCTTCCCATACCAGATGCTGTGCTATGGGTCCCTCTCGGTTCAAAATACAAATAGCAGCTTCTGAATGTGGGTGCAGTCCCTTCTTTGGGCTACTCTGCTCAGCAGCACCCCTTGATCCCCAAGGAAGAAAGAGCCAAGACGTAGGGACTGTTATCAAAGATGAAAAGCAGATGCTAAGGTAGAGATAAGAGAAGTAAATAGCAGCAGTTCCTGGTTTGGTACACAGAGTTTTATAATGCAAGGGCTGGCTGTGAGAAAAATGGTTTTCACTTACAGAGGTGCAAGAAAGAAACCCAGACTCTTTAGTTGGTTAGTTTTACTTGAGAGATGAGAAATAAGTAAGCATGTTTTTGTTGGAAGCAATAAATATATTTCGAAGAGTGAGGTGTTTCCCATGGCCATTCCTACTATCACCATTATATTGGAAGCTAGCCATTACTGCTTCCTGCAGTTATAATCAGCTTGGCAAAGGAGAGTTTTGATCTGCAAGCAGTGGGATGATCAAAAGCAATGATAATGTTTTGAGAAGGAAATGGCATAATTTTTGGCAGTGTAAGTGGGAATGGTGGAAAAAAACATAGATTAAGACCTTCTGTGCAACTCAAAGAGAGTTTTCGCATGCTGTATATGCAGTGACTTTGAATTTTCAAATTCAGTCTGAGTTCTTGCATAGTTTTAGAATATTTACTTTTCCATTTTAACTTTTTTCCCTCCCAAAAAAGGTCTATTAGACACTAGTAGAGTTTTTCTGAAGTTGCTTCATATCTTATTCTTATGAACATTATTTAGATTTTCTTTCATTATATTTCCTTTCACTCATAGAACAAAGATTGCCTAATTTTTTCAGTATAACATTTTGCATTCACTTAATCATAACTTTTCAGATGTTTCCTTATCCAAAAGCCTAGTTTTTCCTTAAGCAAATAATTTTTATCTAATTATATATTTTTAGCTGAAAATGCAACAATTATCATTCTGCCCCATATGGAATTTTTGTTCATTTGTTAGTTTTTAACAAATACAGTGTCTATGCAATTGAAGATTGCAAGTCAGGAAATCACTGAAGTCTTGAAATATTTATGTTAGCCTGGCAGAGGTCATTAGAAGTGAATAACATGAGGTAACTATGACTTTTGTAGAAACCTGAAAAACATCTTTTTCCGACAGTGCTCTGTAAAGTGTGGTAAGGGAGTACGGCATCGGACTGTGAGGTGCACCAATCCCCGCAAGAAATGTGTTTTATCCACAAGACCTAAAGAAGCAGAGGACTGTGAGGACTATTCCAAATGCTACGTCTGGAGAATGGGAGACTGGTCTAAGGTGAGGCATCCTTGATACTAGTGGCCCACAGCATAATACTTTTTGCAAGCTGAGTTCTTTGTAAGAATTGCTTTTATCAAAAGTGTAGGAGTCTCCCAGTTGAGGGAACAATAAGGCTACAAAAAAAAAACCAAAACCAAAACCAAAACATGTAGTCACACTGAGATACAGTATAAATAAAAATTAGAAATATGAAGAAAGCATGAGAGGAATCTTCAGTATCATACAAATGTGAAATAAATTTACTGTTGTCAGTAGGCAGGCAAACAACTCCATCAACTGAAGAGTACTGGGCAGAGTCAGGCATTTCTGTTTGTGAAGACACCTATCAGGATTATTCCATTTTCAGACCTGTTTGAGAACGGTAATGACATTTGATTAAATGAAGTAGCTTTTATCTTGTCTGTAGTCTTTGCTTATTTTTAGTTTGACTTATTTTCTTGCCTGCTTCTGGCTTGATATATTACTGAGACAAGGTGTCATATGCATTGTGTATTGTGTTTGGCTCACAGCAAGAACTTTCTGATTGTCTCTGGATTGCAGAGTAGAGGCTATCAATTGGCTATGCGTAAATACATGCTTCGGTGAGATGCTCTGTTGTATTTCTTTGCCCCTTCCACCTCTTCCATTATAGGCTGCCAGGGACCTAATGTTTGTTGTTCTGTCCTGATTCTGTCATGCATTTCTCATGGTGATATGGGATGTATTTTAAAGGATTGCTTAACAGAGTGGTTCTGAGAAGATAACTTAATTTCCATTACTAAACATTTAGAATACTTTGCTTTGGCCATCCTACTGGATGTCCCCCCGCCCCTTTTCCCAACCAGGGATACATATTCTTTGCCACTTATATGTCATCCAATTGTAATAAATTATAATTCTTTTCCTCCACTGCAGTTCATTCCAACCTCACAGTTTGCCCATTTCATTAATTTGTGTTTGCACATTTTATTGGTTTGTGTTTCCAATATGTTACACCCTCCAGCCTTACAAGGAAGCACCTTTAGCCTATTAAATTTCCACATAGACCATTTAATATCTGGGAAGCATCTATTACTGTCTATTCTGAACACTTGACGTAGCTGTCAGTAAGTTATTTCCTTGGCATATGGGTTTTGATTTTAGTGAGGTACAAAAGCATAGGCCAAACTGTAACAGAAAATATTGACTAGGTCTGTGATTGAATGTATTATTGGACTGGGACCTTGAACATTTGATACACTTTAGAATATCCAAAACATGCTGAAATACTGAAATTGAACCTTAACAGTCAAGGTTTTCTCTTGCTATATCACAGACCACACTTCAGCAGAGATTGTAATCTCTTTTTTTTCCTGACTTCTGTTCATAACTTTGCACACAGCACTTCTACTTTCAGTGCCTAACATTATTGCAGCAGTTTTTAACTTGCTTTTATGGAGAAGTATTTAATGTATTTTTAGTTGTCTTTCATGTGATGTAACAGCTGGAAACAAGGACTAAAGCCAGCAGTGTACGACTAGCCAGCCTTCCAAGAATTAGCTGCAAGTACTCTGTGGGCAACTAGTGTTTCATAGAATTCTGCTTGGGAGCTCCCATTTTATGATGATGGGGTACAAATTGTCACTATCACATTACTATTTATTCCATTTTCTTTACTTTTTTCACATTTAAAGGATAAAGGATAGTGTCAAATGATTTTTTTTAATAGTGGTGATCATTTAAAATATTTGGAAATATTTTGGAACAGTCTTACGAAAACTAGGAAGATACTCCCCCTACCTTAGCTACTTCAAAAGCACAAATCGGTATAACCATTAATTTTTTAAACAACAGAAGGAACTAACCTTCGGTAGCAGGGTTACTTTTACAAGATGTGTTTGGCAATAAAGTTTAGTATTTGCATTTCCATACCACAGAACTGCAGTAAAAACCTGCATCATTTAGCACTAGCACCAGCAGGGAGTAGACTATGGAGAAATGACCATCTGCTTTCTTAGTTGAAGCAGTCATTCATATCAGGGCTGCTGAGGCTATGTGAGGATGCTCAGACAGTTACACTGTGTTCCCAGTTCCCTCTGGAAAAAAGAAGAGCTTTATTCTCTAATTCAGTACTTTTCGCAAACATCCATGTCATAGATGAATGTACAAGAACTTACTTCTTCCTGTTCTAAATTTACTGACAACTTGTATGTTCTGTTTTCCTCCTCCAGTTAAAGCTGCAACACTGTCACCTAAATTGTACTTTAAACTTCAAAATTAGGAGATGAAGAAATATTTCATGTGGAATTGAGAAAACCTTTTGAACAGTTAACATACAGCCTGACTGTGACTTGTGCAGCTGAGATTTTCCAAGATTTATACCAAAAAACAGATACTTTAATTTCTCTACAGAGACATGAGTTCAATTTAAAATATACTTGGATTTCCTTTTTTTTTTCCTGTTACTATTCTGTTCCATTGGTAGAGTACATAGCAACATGAGGTCATGGCATACATGTTAGTATGTCTGCAATGGGGGAAACAAATGGAAAGCTCAGATAAATGTTAATCTTTGCTCACTGTTTGTTTCTAAATCAAAAGTTCAGTACAGCCAGAAGGCTGTGTTCACTGTTTTTACTCTTTAGGATTGTTCTTGACATTGACAGAAGGCTGTTCCTTTGAGCAGAGCCAAGTTCCCCAAAGCTAATGCCAGGACTTGGCTTGAAAAATTTAAATGACGCTTCTCACACATTGAAACAAGAGGCTTAATGTGATCCTTATTGGCTTTGCTGTTCCCCTTGAACTCCTAAGGCATAATTTTAAATGAAGCTTAAATTGCACTATTACTGGAAAGATAACATTATTAATAATCATAGTAGTGCTGTAATGGAGTTAATTTGTTTTAGAAGTACAGTCACATAGAGATCAAATAATTCTTCTGCTCAATGTTTTAACAATAATACCAAGATCAAAGAAAATTTGACCAAAATCGCAAGCTCCAATAGGTCAATAAACACATCAATCCTTCTAAAACTCTAAAACTCTGAATTAATTTAAAAGTATGCTGTATAACCTGGCCTGTATGCAGCATTAAACTCCATAATAGCTTTTAAGTCAGCAAGGTGGCTCAATATGCTTAACATTGCTGTTCTTAACATCAGTTGGTCTCTGTGCCTGCTGTCGTGAGGAAAATGAATATGATGAGAACGTAAAGAATAAAGGCTCAAACTGAGCTTCTGGACCCAGCACCTAGCAACTTTACCGCTTACATTGTCTTTTCCCAGTGAATGCCGTCCTTGGAATACCATACTTCACAATGTAAAAGTTACCTTCAGATGAGGAAAGCTTGTAGCTACTACAGCGCCAGTCAGAGCAAGGCATAGCTCAGTCTTATTACCAGCAGTGTCCTTTACTAAGCTGTCCATTGCACCCATTTCAAGGCTATACGAGGACAGGGTCACGCTCAGAGGAATTCATCTTCTATAAGGATAAACAAGTAGGCAGGGGAGAGGTGAAATGAAATGCATATGAACTACCTGTTTACACATCTACCCGGCTTACTAGGGAAGTTCACATAATTGTAGAAGTCGTTCTCTGAAAAAGACTTAAATGTCAACAGCATAGGGTGCTCAAAGGGCAGGTCTAGGGTACTTTATGTAGGAAGCTATGTATTTTTTTTTCTTCCTATTATCTAGAATCTTCAGAACATTGGTGGAATAAATGAAGCATGAGAGGCAAGATGAATTTTGGAAGGGAGAATAATTTGGGGAATGAGTTTTGAAAATAATAATTAAAAGCTTAAATTTGATATGATATTATAACAGAAACTTTTGGAGAGATTCAGGAGGGGATAATAGGAACAAAACACTGGTCAACAGAGTAGAATTTAGGAGCAGCCATTTGTTAAGCTGAAGAAATATAAAGTATGTGTGTGTAGCAGACCAGAGAAGATAATATGGTATAATTTCTAAAAAGACATTTGGCTATGGAGGCTGGAAAGAGAGTTTCAGCAGAAACTAAAGAAGCAGCAGCAGCAGAATTTCTGAATAGTATCTGTATGTTAGACCAGAGGTGCAGAGGAGTCAAATACCACATCTCGGATAATGGTCCCAGTGGTTGGGATGGAGTTCACTTTGTCTGTCGCCTGAAGAAGTGAAAATGGGGAACAAAGGTTAATCTGCTAAATTTTTTCCAGTGAGTCTGAAAGGACATCTGAAGCAACTGCTTGAGTTTTACACCAATGAGTCCCAGAATTCATGTCCTATTCCAAATTATTTATTTAAGACAGTACATGCAGTGCTGTCTAGAAAGTGTGTGTGTATTGGGGGGGAAGTCAAATCTCCAGCTGTTGAGGGAAGACAGAGTGAACCCAACAGGTCACAGAAAGATCTCCCAACTGAGTGGTACAAGAAGCAGCTGTCAGTGATGAGCATTGCTTCTCTTCTGTCCCAATCAAAGCACCTGTGAAAATGGAGAGAGGAAAAAAACCATTCTTTTTTGCCAACTATTCAACAGCATGCAGCATTCAACCTTTAAACTGTGTGCTTAAACATTTACACAATCCCTAAATTTCCATAGCAAATAGACTCAACTGATTTCATCTCCTTCAATTAAAAAAAATAGAACTTGGATAATATTAACGTTACGGTTTTACTGATGAAGTAATTAGCCTTGGTTTTATTCTTTGGATCCCCATCCAAAATTGTTAGCTCTTTTAGATTCCAGGAATGGAACAGTGCTGGCCACAAGTCAAAATATGACACTATTAATAGATTTATGGACAAAGAAATAATGTGACTTTTGCGAAATAATAGAAGTCAAAATAATACTGGCATCATCTTAATAACTTTTATATTGACTTAATTATACAGTTAGTTTCCAGCAAATGAGGTATGTCTCTGTTTCAGAAGTGAGCAAATCATATGGAAGATGTCAATATAATGAAATGAGAGTGGGGAGTATTTTGTACATTTCTAACCAATCCTGTAATATTAACATAATTTTTTTCAGATAAAGTTTTTTTTTTTTTTATAGATCAA